CGTTCGCTGGTGGCTATACTATAGGCTAGGCTTGGGCGCACCGTCATGCATACCGCTCGGCCCCGCTTCTGAAAGCCACGAGTACAGTGAGTGTGGATCCCATTGCCTCCGTTAGACCTGGGGTCCCCTCGATCCAGTGTTACAGCCTTGTGCTTCTATTTCGCTCCATTCCCTTACGGCCCGTTCGAAGTAGCGCAGTGGTCCCCGTGGCCTTTTTATGTTGTTGCTCCCTTTCTCCGACTGTTCCTTAGTCTGTCTATCTGTCTATCTGTCTGTCTATCTATCTGTCTATCTGTCTATCTGTCTGTCTATCTATCTATAAATCTGCTCGGTCAAAATGATGTTGAGGTCCCCACGGCCTCTGTTGTTGTCGTTCCATCTTTCTTCAACTATTAGTTATTTTATCTATCTATCTATCTATCTATCTATCTATCTATCTATCTATCTATCTATCTATTTACCTATCTATCTATCTATCTATCTCCAGATACCCCACACACCCATAGTCTGACCATAACACCTGTAACGCAGTGAGCCCTGTGGTCATTTTTTACACATTTTTCTTTCTCTATTCGTTTTTCCTTCTATCTATCAGTCTATCACTCTTTTCGACCTGTTGATGTATCTAGTTGTTTTTCAATCTGCTCGCTATTTAATTTACTCTCCTCATTTCGTTTCTGTTTGTTTGTCTTGGATGTTCCCTTTCAGCTAAATGGCCGTTGTCGTGCGGATTTGCGCCTCTTTATTTTCTACCCTCGTCTATCTACGCTCGGGGAGCTGATGCTCGGTTGCAGCCTGTTCTTCCCTCTTTTCAGTTTGTCTAATGCAATTTATTTCTTGGCGCAGGTCATCCGTTATATAGTGCCGTCTTTGTCGTAACTTGCTTACTCTCTCCTCGTACCCTCAGTAACACAAAGTAGAGAGCGATTGTGGGTAGTTGGCGGCTGCTCTGGTGTGGTTTACTCCTTCTTTCCTATCAAACATATTATGTTGTTTTCATCTCTCCTTTTTGTGTTTGTTTCTCTAATGTAACACCTCTAATTTTGGGCTCTTATATGACCTTATTGTGCTGCAAGTGCCGTAAAACTCTTATTAAAAGCTAAGAGAGCAATTGACAACAGGCTTCTCTGTCCTCGACCATTTCTCCCAGCCTTTTCGCGTCTACCCCTGGGTGATTGCCTCGTCTCTAGTTGTATCTTTGAAGCTGCCAGTTGGTCTACCCTCTTTTTCTTTTTCAAGTTTCCTTTTCCATAAACTACTATTTTTCCGTGGTATATATGATCTAATTAGCTTTCAAAGAAAAGCTTTAACCCTATCCGTACGCCCTGAGGTCATTGTGTAGTCCCGGGGTTGTATTCTTCACATTTTAGAATACTTCTAGTACGAAGATCTCTTTGAAACGTTCAGTACTTCTCAAAAAAATCATTTTGACAGACTATTGTGAAAAACGGACGGATCGAATTAATGATTAAATTTCCTCTTGGGAAAGTGGTGGCACGGAGTTCCTCACGTCTTATGGATACAATAGTAAATACACGACGTACGGATAGGGTTAAGCACTCAAATAAATACCAAGACAAGCAGTTCTGAATTAGAGCTTATTTACCAGCACATGCCCTTAAAAAACAAAACAATTCAAGTCTACTTTCTCTCTATCTACCTGTCTATTGGTGATTATATTTCGTTATTCTTTATCCTACCTTGATTTTGTCTCGAGGTGTTCTTGAATTTAGGAAGCCTTTGGGGTTTTACGTGTCTCCTACACATAGCTCAGAGAGTGCTGTGGCGGAGTGGTTTGTCCGCTCGTCTCCGAAGCGGAAAGTCTCTGTTCCAGCCTCGGTTCGGACAAGGATTTTTTTCGCCCTCTTCTGCCCACTCAGCAGTAATGAGTACCTGACTTCGAGTTTGGGAAGTAAATGAGGCCTGGAAAAGAACTGGCCACCCTACAACTACAACTATATGCTGAAGGCCCACGAAGTTTTCTCACTGACAAGGCAATCCCCAATGTCCGGATCGGATGCGGGAACAACTTTGACTTTACACATGGCTCAAAATATGTTCGGGACGGACTAGGCTAGTTCTACTTAACATTAATACTTGATAACCTTACTGCATTACAGGTTTGCTTTAAACCTATAAGCTATTCAATACCAAACAATAAGACATATTAATATAATCTCAGAATATAATAGGGGTTCCAATTTTGCAAAATACACAATAATAATAAATAGCATTCTGTATAGCGCATATCCCCGCTTGACAGCAAGATCTATGCGTTTTACTCTATAGTATTACCCCAGCAGACCATAGAATACTCAGAAACATTCTCAGCTTCCCGGGAAGCATGCCGTGCAAGCAGCTGATTAAGCGCTCAAACACTAACAAACTGACGAGATGTTTCACTGTCTACAGCTGGGTACCCGTTCCCACCTGAGTGAAGTGAGGAAATTTCGTGAAATGTCCCTTTCCCAAGGACACAAAGTGTGGTCCCTGGCGGGGTTCAAACCCTCGACCATACTGATAAAGTAAAAAGAAAGTTGTTCCGCATCAGACCCTGACATTTGGGGATTGCCTTGTTTGTGAGACAACTTCCTGGGTCTTCGGCATATTGTGGTAGGGTGGCCAGTTCCTTTTCACCTCGCCTTTATTTCCCCAACTCTGCTGGGTGGGCAAGAGGGGGTGAAAAAATCCGTGTCCGAACGGAGGCTCGAACACGGACATACATTACGGATCCCCATCATCCAGTGCTAGATCTGCGATAGACATCGGTGATCATGATTCTCCATTCATTCCTTTGCTCGGATGCTCTAAAAAAAGCTGCGTTTCCCTGATCTTTCCCTGTCACCCATTTGTTTAGGTTCCCTAAGTAGGTTGTTCTGGCCCTATCTCTGTCTCGTTTGCCTTCAATTTTTGCAGTGAGAGCTAATGTTCAAGAACTTTTTTTAT